AGGTAAACTATAGGACACGTGGTATTCCTGGTGTAGATAAACAGTGACATGCAGGTAAACTATAGGACACATGGTATTCCTAGATTACAGGAATAATGACATACGGGTAAACTTACCACGTGTAATGAGGTGCAACATGCAGTATTCCTAGTTTAAAGGAGCAGTGATAAACAGTGACATGCAGGTAAACTATAGGACACGTGGTATTCCTGGTGTAGATAAACAGTGACATGCAGGTAAACTATAGGACACGTGGTATTCCTGGTGTAGATAAACAGTGACATGCAGGTAAACTATAGGACACGTGGTATTCCTGGTGTAGATAAACAGTGACATGCAGGTAAACTATAGGACACATGGTATACCTGGTGTAGATAAACAGTGACATGCAAGTAAACTATACGAAACATGGTATTCCAAGAATACAGGAATAATGACATACGGGTAAACTTCCCACATGTAATGAGGTGCAACATGCAGTACTCGTAGTTTAGTACTAGAATGAAAAAAGCATAATTTATATTTATTTTCTAATTTTTGTATGGGGGTTACGAGGTCGGTCAAATCGACTAAACCCATAGAGAAATTTGATAGTGAAAATAACAGATAAAATATAAAGTTTTTTCTGAGCAAATGTTTTATAATTATCTGGAGGTTATAAAGATTTTGCATATGAATTTTGAAAATTTTCTGATGCATAAAAGTATTTTTAGTCTTAAAATCAAAATTAGTTTGCATGTTGGATAGTCAACATTCCAAAAGAAAAAAAGGCATGAGAAAAACATTGCTTAAAAAAATCATAAAAATTAAAAAAGCCTGTACTGAAAGAGTTAAGGCTTTCAGTTGAGCAAGGATTCATGTTGAGTTTCGATTGGTGATACGTTGTTATAGAAGGAATGATTTTTGTAAACAACTTCCATCACAATTTCAGTCCTCGTTTTATTTATGGCTTGCTTTGTTATTTAATATTTAAATTAAAAAAGCCTGTACTGAAAGAGTTAAGGCTTTCAGTTGAGCAAGGATTCATGTTGAGTTTCGATTGGTGATACGTTGTTATAGAAGGAATGATTTTTGTAAACAACTTCCATCACAATTTCAGTCCTCGTTTTATTTATGGCTTGCTTTGTTATTTAATATTTCATTTGAATCATAATGTTATTACAGTATAATAGGAAAATAAATGTTTTTTTTGGAACAAGATAAGGAAGAATTAGTTAAATCATTGTGTACTTGACCATATCAAGCTTAATTTTTCTAACAGGACCACATGTTAGGTCATGTTTACACTAGGCCTTATGTAACTACTTGAATGGGCAGAGAAGATCACTGAAAAACAAAATGTAACATTTAATGAGTATAAAATGGATTTAAAAATTATTATGCATATTTAATAGAACCTACTGATACACAATTTAAAATAGTTAGCATGCAATGTTTGTCAATTAAAAACAGATTACATTTACAGTTTTAAATATTATAAGTTTTTAAGTAATGTATTGAGATGAACAAAAGTTAAAATGTAGAACAAAGATAGGAATTTTAAATTGTTTCTTAAAAAAATTAACTCTTCTTTTCCATGTAGAGTTGGTCTATGTGACCAACCTTGTAACCACAATATAGTGATCATAGTTTCCTTACTATAACTTTTAATATGTTTTATGTATCTTCACAAAATTTGGCAACATTTCAGTAAACATTAGTTAAATATTCTTACTAAAGATTTAATCGTGAATATAAAGTTAGTGTTGACGGAATTGAGTCCAAAGAGATTTTCATGTTAAGATTAAAAATACTTTTTTCATCTGAAAATTTTAAAATTGCTTTTGCATAATCTCTTAGAATTACCTAAATAAATAACCGCCTTTTTTTTTTTTTTTTTTTTTTTTTTTTTTTTTTTTTTTTTTTTTTTTTTTTTTTTTTTTTTTTTTTTTTTTTTT